GTTTGGTGAGCTTCGCTATTGGGGGGCTCTTGACTCAACTGCGATCGTTGTACTCACGCCCAGCATCACGTAGGACCACTACGGTTTCGGTGGTTTCGGGACATACCAGGGTCGGTATCGGTATCAACGAAACCCTCTTTCTATTCCCACTATTTTTATTCGTTCCGCTTTATCTCTAACTCCAAACTCCAAACTCCCTTTGCTCTTCCTCTCTGGTGTCTCGATCCCTTCCCCTTCCCCTTCCTTCTGCTTCTCCTCTGTCTTCTGCATCTACCATCCACACGTTCATCACGCGACCCACGCGACATTTCACCCCCCATCACACGCGCCATACGACCTCAATCATCTCCTCTGAGTCTCTGTCTCATTCTTGCTCTCTTCCTCGACCACCCCCATCCAGAATCATAGTAACCACCCAACTCCATCACACGCACCACAAGACCTCAATCAAAAGGATGTTCATGGGCTGGGAAGACGATACATGCGGCGTTGCTCTGTTATCTATATACCGCAACTCAATACGGCTGCTCAGCTCAGCGATGGATGGAAGAACGGCATGGCACGCTATTCCCAAAATCGGACCGGTATTGTTTCTACCTTCCCAAAGTCGAATCAGGATTCGGAGGGGCGAATCCCCGAAGGGCCTCTCTTGCTCTTGGACACTAATCCTGAGCAAGGGGGGGGGGGGGGGGGGGAAGTGGGAGAGTGAGGGTGACCGAGACTGTACGCCCAATAACAATTCCACATTCACGAGTCGAGGTGGCAAGGGCGCATCGCACCGTTGCGGCACAGATACCCCGAATCTAAAAAACAAAAAAAAAACAAAATTCCGAACATCCGGCATTGAAATCACTAAATATAGGTTATTCCGTATGGGTCGATGCGGAAAAGAACCTCTCTTACGCGTATGGTCTGTGCTCTTCTCCCTCCATACACCCGAACTTGGACTGTTCTTGGGGTGTTGAGGCGGGGATCCGCATTGTTTTACGTGGGTGTGCCGAGTTGGGTGGTATAAAAGGCTCTTGGCCGGTTTGAGATTCCTTCTAGTTCTTCAGTCAGTCTGCGATGGTGTTCGTCGCTTTGTCGTTCTTGCTCTCGCTCTCGCTGTCGTTGTCGGTATGGGCGTTTGATAATTCGCGGTATGATAATGTGAGTTTCGTTCCCTTCGTGAATTTATGGACATGATACTCATGAGCCTCGTATCCTAGCTCGCTGTGTACGTGCCATCATCCTCCCTCCCTCCCATCTCACACAACTAACCCGACCTTCGAACGAACAGCTACTGGGGCCAGAACTCGTACGGAGCAGTCCACGGAACGGATACAGCCAACTTTCAGAAACCGTTATCGTTTTATTGTCAGGTACGCGAAAACCCGGCAGTCAGAACGTTATATTGCCAAGGGGGGCGGGCGCTAAATTATAATCATTTGCTCGTAGGACTCGACAATCGACGCTATCCCCATCGCCTTTGTCAACGTATTCTTCGGACCGGGAGGTGTCCCGTCTATGAATTTGGCCAACGTACGTGCCCTCCCCCCCCTTCTTCCCTTTCCTTCCCTCTTGCTAACTCTCGACACAATACATAGACATGCAACCCAACAGACAACGCCACCTTCCCCGGAACCAACCTCCCCAACTGCGCCTCCCTCGCCTCCGACATAAAGACATGTCAATCCAAAGGCAAGATCGTGACACTCAGTCTAGGAGGGGCGACAGGTTCGGTAGGGTTCCAGTCGGATGCGCAGGCTGTTGGGTTTGCGGATACGATTTGGAATTTGTTTCTTGGGGGAGTTCGGGGACGAGGCCGTTTGGGGATGCTGTTTTGGATGGGTGAGTGTCGGTATGAGTGGGGGGTTGCGAGTATGGGGAAGCTGATGGATTGATTATTTGTAGGATCGACTTGGATATTGAAGGAGGAACGTCGGACCATTACGCTGCGTTTGTGAACCAGATCCGGAGTCGGGCGAGTGGGGGGAGTAAGAAGTAAGTAACGCGCAACAGAAAACACAACACTCCACTAATCAAAAACCTAGATACTACGTTACCGCCGCCCCGCAATGCATCTTCCCCGACGGAGCCCTCGGGGGAGTCCTCAACAGCGCCCAATTCGACGCCGTCTACGTCCAATTCTACAACAACCCTTGCGGGCTCACGCACTACGGAGAACCCAACAACTGGAATTTCGGTATCTGGGACCAATGGGCGCGCACCACCTCCCCCAACAAGAACGTGAAAATCTACATCGGAGCTCCTGCCTCTAGCACCGCCGCCGGTTCAGGCTACGTCGACCCTTCCACGATCGCATCGATCGCGACGACGATGAGGAAGAGTTTCCCTTCGTTCGGAGGGGTGATGCTATGGGATGCGTCACAGGCTGTGGTTAATAGTAATTACCACAAGGCGATTAAGAACGCGTTGGTGGCTGCTGGGGGAACAGGGTTTGAGTTTCCGACGTGTGATGCGCCGAGTTGGACGAGTGGGAGTAATTATCCGGGGAATTCAAAGGTGTCGTTTGGGGGGTATGTTTGGCAGAGCAAGTGGTTTACGAGTGCGCAGCCGGCTGCGAATCCGAATGGGGATTGGAGTGCTATTAGTGCGTGTCAGGGGAGTGGGACTGGAGGTGGAGGGGGAGGTGGTGGTGGTGGGGGAAGTGGAGGGTGCAGTGGTGTTGCGGCGTGGTCGAGTTCGCAGGTTTATACGGGAGGACAGTCGGCGACTTATAACGGACACTTGTGGACCGCCAAGTGGTGGACACAGGGAGAGACGCCGGGTGGAAGTGGTGGATCGTGGGATGACAAGGGCGCGTGTTAGACTTGTAAATTATCTATTTATTTCACGATGTACCGAATAACATTGACCTCCAGTGAGCACGGGCCGGAGCGCGAGTGGGAATCATGTTCACTGCCTCCCACCTTGGCCATCTTGTGGCGGGTAGAATGGTTGGCGGCGGGTGTTGGCAGGAAGGCTTGGCCTGGAGACGTGGCTCGCGCGCGTATTTTTAGTTGGAGTGGTGCCTCTTTGGCTTGGCGATCGCACTTGGCGAGGGGGAGGTATCTCGGAAAGGGGATCCCTATTCTTGGTGGCTGAGTATTTTTAGAGGATGGTCTGGAATGTCTTGGCGTACAGGATACTAAGAATAGCTTGGGCAATAGCTTGGGCACTTGGCATAGACTACGTAGAAAACTTGGCAATCAAGTTGGGTATGGTATAGTACATAATTTACACATAGATAGCAACGACAGCGAGGAGAGAGAGGGCTATGAACTGGGAGAACGTGATCTTGTGCTGCTCGTTCTGGGAGCTACTCGTGCGAGAGGTTCGATGGGGGGTGAATTGGGTTCTTCAGAGTAAGGCGAGAGTGGTACGCGTGACCGGTAGGGATAATGCATCGAAGGCGGCGGAGAAGACTCGCGCGGCCGTTTCCGGGACACCGATTCGATGGGCGGAAGGGGTTGGTTGTACACTTCGAGCAGTGTTCTCTGTAGTGAAGCAGTCTGAGCCAGGCGCTGTAGAAGAACATTAGACAAAAGCGATGGAAAATGCGTGTGACACCCACGTTATCTTCTGCAGACTTTGCGTTGAGCATGGCTAGCAGCATTTCTCGGTCTCCGTCGCCCTTTGTTCGATAGGCAGTGAGAATATCTCGGAGGGACGGGGGAGGAGGAGTGCTGAGAATCTGGTTGGCAGTGTAAATGTGGTCTTTGAGCGACATCGTTTCGTTTGGGGCTCTCTTGGCTCAATCCCCTCCCTATATAACCTCGACATGAATCTCTTGGCAAAACCCAAAGACGCAAAGCGTTTCTTGGCATTCTATATTTAGTCATGCAGCAACACTCTTTCCATTACATCCACCACCCAGATCACCTAATCAGCCTCCCCCCAACCACCCACGTCGGCTTGGACATCGAATGGAAGCCCAATTTCCTCAAGAACGCCCCAGAAAACCCAGTCGCCCTCGTTCAGCTCGCCACAGCCACATCCGTCTATTTATTCCACCTTTCCCGCCTCACATCTTTTCCTCCGTCCCTCCGGAGCCTGCTCCAGAATCCAAAAATACTCAAGACCGGCGTCGGCATCCAGAACGACGTCAACAAGCTATGGATAGACTGTGCCGTCTCCGTTACCAACGTCGTCGACCTGGGAATGCTCGCAAAGGCCATTGATTCACAGCTTTTCAGGGAGAGGCTGGGCAGGTACCAAGAACTTCTCTATTACCCGCAGCACGTACACGACGAATCGGATTCGGCTCACCCGTACGATCCTTACCAACAGAGGCTCTTTCGAGGTCCGTTTAAAGAGAATGTGGGCTTGGCGAGGATGGCAAAGGTCTTTCAGGATAAGGACATGGACAAGGCTAAATCCGTTACGAGGAGCAACTGGGAGTTGCCCCTGACACAGAGGCAGATTCATTGTGCGTGTGTGTGTGGTGTGTCTTTCCATGGGAACCCTACTCACGCCTTTCAAATCAGACGCAGCAGCAGATGCGATAACATCTCACTCGCTATACTACAACATCATCGATCAACTTGTTCATCTCCCCCTCCATCTATATCCTAAACGCAAGTATTACACTTTTGATGCTATACGTGGGTCTTTTTACGAGTCCATGTACCCGGATGAACGGGAACCTCAGCGGGCTATCGTTGCCACCGAGGTCACGGAGCAGGAAGAGGAGCTGTATCTCCAGGGTATACCCCAGGGAGGTCTCAGGCAGTGGTTTATTAACAATCCAGAGTATGATCCCGCGCCGAGGCCTAGAATCGAAAAGAAGGACGGTGAGAAGAAGGAGGGGAAGAAGGATAAGGATAATACCCATCGTGGCCGAGGGAGAGGGCGAGGTCATAGAGGCGAATCTTCGAGGGGCAGGGGGAGAGGACGTCCGCCAATGTTGCCTTAGTTGTGCCTTTCTTGTACCTTTTTCTGTGTAATTCTAGTCGTTCTGCTAGTTATCCTCACGGCTGCTCGACAATGACAACATCCAATCCGCCCACCTCCTCACCGGCCTGATGGTCTAGTAGTATGATTCTCGCTTTGGGTGCTGAACTCTGGCATTCTTTGCGAGAGGTCCGGGGTTCAATTCCCCGTCAGGCCCATACACTCCATGCTTGCGACATGCTTTTTTCCCCCTCTCCTTGTCTCGGGAGTCCACGCACGCCGAGTCCAGGGATCCCGCGGTTTTCTTCTTCCCCGACCTTGTCACGTGGCCCAAGTTCGCGTCGATCTCGTCACTCCCGGTCAAAGCTGGGCGTCTATTTCCCCCTCCTTGCCTCTTGACAACGATGTCTACTCCAGACGAATACGATAACCTCTCAGACGACATTGACTATGCTGCTATCGGAGAAACCGAATGGAATTTATACCAAACGCAGAGCGGTCCTTCTTGTCCGATTCCAATTGCTGGACCGTCGACTTTGCCTTTGTCAACGGCAACGGCAACAATAACGCTTCCTTCAAGACCTGCGAGCTCGGGCTCTAGTTCGTACTTTGATACCGACGAAGAGAACCCAGAGTTCTTCGCTCAGTTGGATGCGTTGGAGAGGGGTTTGACGCAACGAGAGGGTGAGCATGGGGAATGTTTCAATGGTTTCTTGTACTCACCAACCAAAACGCTTTGCTCGAACCCCCCCCCCCCCCCAGACCTACATACTGGTAAACGATCCCGTTCGTCGTCTGATGCGAGTCAACGATCGACGGGGGTGAAGAAGCTTAAGGAGACCGGGAAGGAGTAAAGAGAAAGGAGAAAGAGAAGGAAGGAACCACCTCGACGATGACGATGAAATCGTTACTCGAAACTTTCGAAGAGGAAGTATGCTGTCCAATGTGAGTTTCGAAACTTTCTGTGTACGGGTGTTCGAATGCCGACCCTCTTCCCCCTTGTAGATGTTGCGAATACATGTAACGTTCCCCTTTGACCCCCTCGTACCTTGAACCAACCACGAACAACAGGGCATACGCACACGCAGTCAACCCATGCGGACATACTCTATGCGGGAGTTGTGGAGTTGCGTGGTTTATCACCAGCGTGAGTACCCCCCCTTCCCCCCCTTCCCCCTATCTCACCTCTTGCTACGTGACAGAAAAAACCGACATGTCCGCTATGTCGATCCAAAGCCGACCATGCAAGACCGTTTATCCCGAATATCGTGGTTGATAATGTGGTTCGGAGGTATATGCAGATGCAGGTGCTCGTGTTTGCGGACGACGATGGGGATGGGGGAGGGTGGGGGAGTAAGATGAGAGAGTTTGAAGCGAGAGAGCGGTTAGTCTCCTTTCTTCTCGTGCTTCGCGCTTCGTGCTTTGTGTTCTCGTTCTAAGCCTTCGTGCGCCGTGACTAGGGAGTGGAAGAAGAAGGAGGAGCAACTGTATAAGAACGAATTGGCTCGACGTGCGAGGACGACTTCGCACACCAATACCAACACGAATACGAACACCAACACTAACACTAACACGCGTGCAACAAACCGGGGCCGGTATCCTATCACCGAGCGGTTGGAGGATCAAATACGCGCTGCTATTAGGGAGGATATCGCGTTGGCGATGAGGCAGCGGGAGAGGGATGAAGGGAGGATACTTGCGTTGGCTAGTATACTGTGATATTCTTTTTTCTTTTTGCTTGCTTGCTTGCTTGTTGGCTTTTTGTGTTTAGACGGGGTGGTCGTTCAATAATGTAACTCTATGCTCGAATTGTAATCTTCAGTATTGTAGTCCGAAATCTTGGCCGGGAAACTCGTGATCGCATCCTTACAGTAGGCCTAGGGTGGCTCCGAAGAGCGATGGGAATAAGAAATGACCGACACCTATGTACGTTTCGCTTTTTTCGGCCTCGACGTTCAGTACTTTAGTGACGGCACGAGGCCCGAGGGGCAGCTGCACAGTGCACACCAGGAAACCTAGATGGCAGACCCTAATTTTATTGTGGATTCGAGGCGCAGTCCCTTCAGGGGGGCATTTCCTCCAGTAGAGTGTGAGCTCGGCGCTCGTCGATGAGGGGACTACTCAAGCTGAGAGGAAGGCGTACTTGGATGCCATCAAAGACCGTCATTGGCTACCACTCGTGACAAACCATGACCCAAATCTTCGTTGCCCGTAAAGTCAACTATCAATTAATGTTACTTCCCAATGTAGAAATGGCTCCGAAACGTAGGCCCACCCCCTCGATCGTACGCCTCAAATATCTCGTTCACACAACTTGCAGATCGTACTCTAGGCCCAAAAAAAATCTACGACGATTTCAGAAATGTTTGTCATGTGCATTTTTCACGGTTTTCTAAAAATCCTAAAAAAAATATCCAAATGTGGTAGTGCCTCAACCTCTGGGGCCTGCTCGGGTCGCGGGCTGGGGTCTGGCCCGCTCTACCAAAATATGGACTACAAAACTGAACCTATGTACGCACGACGGGCAGGCCAGGTTTCCCCGACCGTAATTTTAAATGTAAAAGGGAATCGTAAAAGTTTAAAATTCACGATTCACTTTTGCAGTCGTAACTCGTTGTAGGATTCAACTCACGGCCGTAAAATAAATCGTAAAAGGTTTGTTTTTACGATGGTGATTTATGACGTAGTACAACCGTATATAGCAATTTTTTTCGAGCTCAGATGGTTTTGTTTTACGCCCATAAAAGAATGATCTTTATGAGCTCAAAAAGGAATCTGTGACTCTGTACAGGCCTCAATCAGCGCCGTTCTACAGTGAAAATCTGGTGGAATCCACTCGGCAACTAATTCTTGGACTCGTAAAAGTTATTCTTTTACGCGCGTAAAATAAAACTGTCCGAGCTCGAAAAAAATTGCTATATACGGTTGTACTACGTCATAAATCACCATCGTAAAAACAAACCTTTTACGATTTATTTTACGGCCGTGAGTTGAATCCTACAACGACTGCAAAAGTGAATCGTGAATTTTAAACTTTACGATTCTCTTTTACATTTAGAAATTACGGTCGTGGAAACCTGGCCTGCCCGTCGTGACGGAGCGTGACGGTCCATATTTTGGCGGGTGGACCCCCGACCAGGGCCTGAGTCGGGCACTCAGGCCCAGGTGTCACGCGTCACGCGTTAGCGAGACGACCGCATTTGGATTTCTGTTTTAGGTTTTTAAGAAAACCGTGAAAATGCACATGACAATACGTCTCCGAAACCGCTCTGTAGCCTGTGAGGCTTATTCTACAAAACTTCTACCGTAAATGGTACTTAGGTGTCGTACAAAGAATTTAAAAATACAACAATTACCCCAGCAAATTACAAAACACCAGAACCGATGTCACTGTCACACTGAGCCAAAAATTTTTTGGGTGGTAAATCCATTTGGAGGGTGACCGACTCTGGCGCCTACTGTACAGGCAGTTACATGTCCATAAAGCATTGCCTCTTACGACTTCAGAAAGTTTGTGACTTTGTATAGGCCCCAATCAGCACCCTCCTTCAGTGGAATTTTGGCGGGACACACATGGTATGGTCACAGGCTTCAAAATACGAAGATTTTCTGGGTCTCATTTCCCCGGGGAGGAGCTTACATCGGTATGACTCGGTTTATGGTTATTGGTTATGGTCGCAGGCTACAGGCCCCAAGATCGGCGAATAAGTCCATCCAGCCTGTGACAAGTTGTGACACCTCCGAGTTTGCCTAATTTGGGGCGATGGGCGATGGGCACCAAGGGGCACCAATATCCGAAACATTTTCCCCACGTCACAGGCAGGTAGGGTTTTAGGAATTTCTAGGAATTCGTATGAAACGGTCACTTCGATCACAGTTGGACTATGTCATGATCGTGAATATTTCACGACATAAATGTCACAGCCTGTCACGCGTTCCACCCCTCACTTGGGTCCTTCGTTCTTGATAGCCGTGACATATGCATCCACTTCGGAATCAAACACTAAAGTACTAACGACTTGAAAATTCGCTACTCGTGAACAGTAAGCCACCGAGAATGCCTTGGCCAATCGCTCCTGCGTATTCTGAGTCAAATTATTGTGGACGCAAGGCCAGTAGGTGAGCCTCTCTCTCTTTACGGTTTCTGTTCACATCTTTACTTGCTCGTAAAAACTCGAAAAATCTGCTTTGGCCACGGACCGTCACGCAAAAACTACAAAATAAATAAATAATGGATGACAGATATACCTTCCCCGCCCCAAGTAGTGCCCCACGCGGGCAGTATAAATTCTCCAGGTCCTAGAGTTATGGCTCTGTACCTTCCTTTCCTTTCCTCTTTGCCAACGGTCAGAGAACATCATGCCTTGGATTGTCCTTCTCTCTATCGGTCGACGTCTCAGTCTCGCTGTGAGGTTTGCCGTGCAAATCATCATGCAGAGCAAGGAGAAGTATTCCAGGGACACGTTATTTGAAACCTTTGATCGGGACGTGTGGTGTCCGATGTGAGCCTCCTCAAGCAGCAGCTAGTGACTGTCCAGAGCACTGACCCCCCTTCTCGCAGATGTCTCCTTCACATGTAAGTCTCTGCGTCTGGACCAGCCTGAACGACCTTCAGCTAAACCCACACAGGGCATATGCGCACACGATCAACCCTTGTGGGCACACCTTGTGTGGGAGCTGTGGCGTTTCCTGGTTTATCACGTATGTGAGTGCCGTTCCTATTCCTCTTGGCCCACATTCCACTTCGACTCAACCGTTCTACTCAACAGAGGGAAACCAACTGTCCATCGTGTAGTACCAAGGCAGTCTACACACGCCCGCTAATCCCGAACATCGCGATGAATAATGTTGTTCGCGCGTATATGCATCGGATGCAAAGGCTCGCTAATGACGATGGTCCAGACGGGGAAAGATGGAGGAAGGAGATGAGGGAGTTCGAGGCGAGGGAGAGGTTAGTCTCTCCTTCCAATTTTTCAACGCCTCGATTGACTTGTTTGTATCACAGCAAATGGAAAGCTGAGAGTGAAGAAGAGTACCAGATCAACCTGGCTGGGCGTGCTGGGGCGTTGTTGAACTAGTAGGCGTCGGCTGACTCTGTGAGGAGCCTGCTCGCTCTGGTCTATCCCCCTCCTTTCTGTACATTTCCTTTGCTGAAATCTTCTACCTACTTTCTTGATTTGTCTGGTCTGTGTTGTGCTTTCCATATCTGTATCAACT